AGAAAAGTTTTGATGAGTGACTCCTTACTTAATTATAAATACAACATTTGTATTTATAAATATATTTAAAATTATTTAGCATTTGATAAATTGATTTATTAATGTTAATTCTCCCTAAAATTTTAGCAATTTGATTAAAGACAAAATCTTTTTTTTTTAATATGATTTTGATGATATTAATCAATTAATTACAATAGACATTAATTATTAATAAGTTCATATGAATAAAAAATGATTAAAATGTGAGAAAATTAGGGGGCTGAATTATATATTATGCAAGTGATTTGAGACACATACCCTAATTGCAAGTAAAATTGTGTTTTGATTGGGTAACAAGGAAACCTATTAATCAATCAATCAATCAAATCAAATCATAAAACAAAAAAATAATGTCTTAATTACAAAAAATTGGTTTTGTCTGATTACTAAATTTAATGTTTTAATTAATAATTATAGTTAGGTGCAAATGATATATATATATCTATATATATATATATGTTTTGTTCACTTGTGCATGCAGCCTCCATATTAACATTTTGGAAAATGTCTCCCCAACTTTGCTACATGACAAATTTCTACATTCCAATGGACCCAACTCTCTAAACTCTTATATATATATATATATATATATTATTGATATAACATTAATTATTTTATTAAAATATTATTAATAAATTAGTATATATATTTATATATATATAATCATGCAATCCAATTTCAATGTACAGTTAATTCCTTCATAAAAAATAAAATTGAGAGGTACCCAAGTAGTAACCCATGCACATTTAATGTTATATACATGTATAGGATGCAAATACCAATAAATTGAACTTTATGAGAATAATAAATATTATCAAGAACAAAACACCTAGAAACTGCATCCAAGATAACATTTATTTATAATCAATAGCATAAAAAATTATATAAAATTATTTAATTTAATTTATAATTAGATCCCTAGTAAATGCATGCAGGGGCTATATGTAGATATGTATATATATCTATATATATAGATTAATCAAAAGCCTATATATATAGTATATCATATTTTCATGTATGTACATATATATACAGGTAAATTAGTTTATGTGTGTATTAGTTTAATCCCACCATATATATATATATATATGTTTGTCTGCTCTGCTACTGCTACCCTTTCATTGCCCTTCTGTAAAAGCTAAAGCTAAATTGTGAGGAGGCAAAGTTTGTAGCCAGGATTGATGCAAACTTGTCTCAAACCTTGTAGACCAAAAGGCCAACCCTCTAGCTTTGCATGATTGCCTCAATTATATAAATACATACACACACACATATATATATATATATATATATACAGACTTGTTCTTCTCTTTTTGATGAATATCTCAGTCTCTGCACTGTTTAGTTCTGATCTTATAATACTGCCATTTTTTGCATTATATATAAATATATACATATGATTGCTTAGGGATTTTAGGTTAGTTTTAATGTACAACAATTGGAAGAACACTGAATTACTGTACTGGGTATTTTCATATTTGACAGAGAGATGAACATTTTGGTCTCAGAGAATAAATATAATAAATGGGAGGTCTGAATGTGCTGTTGCAGCATTAATAGAAGACACACACACAATCACACACACACACACACATATATATATATATATACCCAGATAAAATAAAAAAAAATGGTGAGAGTAAAATTTTTTATGGTAAATATTAAATTTAAATTATAGTTATTGTTTAAAAGTGTAAATTCATCACTATAATCTCATTATTAGTCACTGCAGTTATTTAAGATGTAGAAAAAAAAAACATTCTTTTTCTCTTAAAGTCAATTATAGAAAAAAAAAAAATAAGAAAAGAAAAAGGAATCATATACATGTATATATTGAAAATAAGTAAAAACTAAAAGTAAGATAATATTTAAGGGTTTGTAAATTAATGGAGAGTAGTTGGCAACAGTATGTGTGTATGTATATCATATTGTTATAAACAAAGATACCCAGAAAATTTATAGTGTTGAATTTAGGATATTAGATGTAGAACAGTAGGATATGTGTAGATATATATA